TGACTTGTATATTGTGGGATCATTGCTACATGTTAGATTTCCCTTTTGTTGAACTATTTCCTTTATGCCAGCATTCTTTTCCATGGTTGTTACTTGTGAACTGATCCTACATTTTCTTCGTTATTTACAATTCTTGAGTTGACTTACTTGTCGTACTTTGTATTATTGTCATTGTTATTGTTGTGTATTTACTTTGGGACTACGCACCGGTATTCCGGAAGATCCCCCCTGCATGTTTACTTTGGGACTACGGATTGGTATTCCGGGAGATCCCCCTACATGTTTTCTTTGGGACTACGGATCGGTATTCCAGGAGATCCCCATGTACCTTTATATTTGGGATTACAGGACGATATCCCGGGAGATCCCTCTATACTGGATAATTACTTTGGGACTACGGATCGATATTCCGGGAGATTCCCCTTCATAGTTACGATTTTGACTACTAGACGATATCTCGGGAGATCCTCTGCACACTTACGTTTCAGACTACGGGACGATATCCTGGGAGATCCCCTGTTAATATCACTATGTTCTGAGTTGTTGTTTTCATTGATCCTATCCCTGTGTAAACATTCTTTGTGATGTCCGTTATATTCCTTATACTTACTAGCTGGTATGAACTATGTTAGGACACTTGCACAAGCATACACGTGGCTAAGCACCCTTATCGGATAGGAAGCTTTTTGGTATTGTCGAGTATAGACGCACACCCTTGTTTATATTTCTTCCATGTGAGAATGGCTCTATTTGGCATGTGAGTTGTCAGTATGATTATGTGGTGCAATGAGGGCACAGGATGCCAAGTGTTAGGGTTCAGGTACTGAGACCCGTATTGTATGAATATGAGACGAGGTGTAACGTGGTGACTTTTATTCGAAGGTTATCTATTCAAAAAGATTATATTAGAAGGTTATCTATTTGAAAAGATTATATTCGAAGGTAGTTATTTTGAATTAACTATTTTGAAATGTCATAGGGTGACTTATATTCGATGAATATTTGTTTGAAAAGATTATATACGAAAAGTATTTATTTTGGAAAAGCTATTTTTGAAAAACACATTTATTTGAAGGAAGTATATTTCGAAACATTTCTATCACTTGAAAGGTTTGACTATTTGATTGACGTTTGCTGGTAAATACTTAAGGTGAAAATTGTCGTAGTTGCTGAGTTATGACTTGTCTTTGCTGTATTTTTGATTTCGGAGTTGGGCTGTATTTTCGTTCACTTTTCTATGTTCTTATTTCGGTGTTCCGTTGTTACTTGATGTTTTCTTTCCTTATTGCAATTACTGTATTGTAGCCATATCGCGTAGTCTTTATATAGGTATTGTGTTTTGTTGTTTCTATACTTATACTTATTCAGTTTAATAGACCAGTAGGTGTCTTGACTGTTCCTCGTCACTACTCCACCGAGGTTAGTCTTGATACTTACTTACCGGTATGGTGTGCTCATACTACACTTCTGCATATTTTTGTGCAGATCCAGGTATTGTTCAATAGTAGTTGTGCGAATTCTTGCCGAGGAGACTCAAGGTAACCCTGCTGCTGTGTTTGCACGCTTCGGAGTCACCTTCCTATTTTGTATTCACACTATTGTACTTATTTCCATACGGTTGTATGTAGAAGTTGTGGCGAAACTCTGTAAAGCTTATGACTTGTACTATCGGGTTTTGGGAATTATAAATTCTATAGAGATTTCTGCTTCAAAACTGTTAAATTTCATTTACTATTGTAGCTTTTCAGTATGAGTTAGGCTTACCTAGTCTCTAAGACTAGGTGCCATCAAGATACCTAAACGGAGGAAAAGTTGGGTCGTGACATCTTCAGAGTCTTCAGTAGCCTAGTAAGGTATTCCATTGCTATTACAAAAAGATAGGGAGATAGGGGGTCCCCTTGCCTCACCCCTCTCTTTGCAACAAATGGAGTAGTTGCCTTACCGTTACCTACAGTAGAGTAGGATACTGTTTGTACACAGGTCATAATCTATTTCACAAATATGTCAGGAAAGTTCAATCTAATAAACACTTGCTCCAGGAACACCCACTCAAGTGAGTCATAGGCTTTTTGCATATCAATCTTGATCATGCACCTAGGTGATATTCCTTTCCTCCCATACCTCCTTATTAACTCATGACTAAGTATAATATTTTTATTAATCACCATGCCAGGTACAAAAAGCAGCTTGTCCTTTATCAATCAAGACATCCATAACCCCTTGTAGCCTGTTGGTTAGCATTTTGGATATGATTTTGTATATTGTAATGCATCAGGAAATTGGTCTGAATTCCTTCACATGAGATGGGTTCTTCACTTTTGGCACTAGTGTAACATCAGTACAGTTTAGTGGTATGTACATGTTTTGAGTTTCAAAGAACTTAAGGAATGTATTGGTCACCTCCTCCCTAACTGTTGTCCAGGCTTTTTTGAAGAAGCATGAGTTGAAACCATCCATCCCTAGTGCTTTAGTTTCATCTATCCCTTGTAGTGTCTGATATACTTCTTCTTTGTTAAAAGGTCTAATGAGTGTTTGTTGTTGCCTTATATAAGAATAGGACACGTGTTCATTATATTAGGCTACATTGTTGGCAGTGTTGTATTTGCATTTCCTAGCAACTGCTTGTCGAATTTGAGTATTTCCTCCTCTATGCCCTTCTCTGTTTGCAACATTCTGCCTTCAGTAGACACTAAAGCCTTGATATGATTTTGTGCTCTCTTATTCTTCATGTTTGCAAAAAAGTATGCTGAGTTGGGGTCTCCTAACTTTAGCCATTGCACCCTAGATTTCTGTTTGTATATGCTTTCTTCTATCAAATCCCATTTCTCAAGTTGTATCCTCATATCCTTTTCTACTTCAAATAACTCCTGTGAGTGGTTTGGAGTTCTCATGTCTTCCTGTACATTTTTAAGCTTGCTTCTGATGTCTTTGATTCTTTCTGTGACCCTAGTAAACTCCTTGACATTCAGTTCTTTGATGGCACTCCTAACATGCTTCAGCTTCTCCCATGTGTCCTTAATATTGTGTGCATTGTTAGTTTGTCTCCAGCTGTCCTCTACTATCTTGGTGAAATTAGGGTGTTCTGTATACAGTTCATGAATCAGAATGCTTTCCTGCATCTGTTTTCTGGCCTGCCAATTCAATGCAGAGTGAAGAGTGGTCTGAGAAGATAGGATCCATAACTTGCAGTGATAGAGATGGCATTGTAGTCATCCAGTTTGAGTTGACTATGGCTCTATCAATCCTACTATATGTGTGATTATTGCTCTATGTGTATGATCTTCTAATTGTTTGTAGTTTTGTGATTCCAGCTTCTACCATAAACTTTTTGAAGTCTCTTGTTTCTACGTCCTGCACCTCTGTACCATGTATTCTGTCTTTTACATTCAATACGGCATTGGAGTCCCCCATTATTAACAGAGTTCTTGCTGCCATGACTCCTTTTGCTCCAGTTTTTACCACAAGACCTGCCTGTCCTTTATACTATGTAAGCCATATACTGCAGTGAAGTGATATTCAACATTCACATATATCCCTTTCACTTGAACATGTATTATTTGAGGATGCACATCCAGCTCAGTTATCATTGCAAGGTTAGGGTTCCATAGCAGCCATATTCTCCCTCTTTGTGTACGAGATGTATTAGTGATCCAATTCCATCCGGGTGCAATTTTATTTGCTATATTTGTAGCTTTGTTCTCTTGAGCTCTATGCTCTATTATTGCTATAATAATAATATTATTTTCTCTAATAAACTCCTTTTCTCTTTTTGTTTATACAACTTATTCACCCCTCGAACACTCCAAGTAACTATCTTCTTCTTGATAGACAAGGAAATTGAGTCATGTCCTCCAATCTTATGCTACTTCTTCCCCCTTCTTCATACTGTGTATGTTGTGGTTCCATTCTCTGTTGATTTGCTTCTTCACTGAGTGAATTGAAACCATTTACACTAATCAGCTAATGTGTATTCTCTATTTGGCCTGCTTTTGTTGTCTTCCCAGCTGATCTGCCACACACTCTGTCTAGCCTTCCTCACCTTCTTTAGCTTTCCCTTTATTGCATGGTTCTTGTTTGTCAATTTTAGTTTCCATTTATGTTACAGTTTTGCTTTGCCCTGCTTTCACCCATACCTGCTTTGTAGACTTCTTCATACTTTGTGGCTGTTGTTCTCGGTTCCTTCCGGTTTGGATTTGTTTCACATTGTGTTTTTTGTTGGCACCCTCCACTTCCAACTAAGAGGTTTTGAGTTCGAGTCACCCCAATCGAACAATAGTTTGTATGTTTTCCCCTTATGACATAGGTGTGTTCCTTGCCTTCTGTTGCATCACTACCGGCGTCACGTTTGCATTCTTCTCCTGTAGTACCGGCCGATTGGTTGGCGTGTTGATTTCTCCGATAGTCTTCTCCGGTCCTGGTGTTTTGCTAAGAATTTCCGTAATTGATCGCACTTTTCCGGATCCCAACCCTAGATTTCCATCCTCAGTAATTCGTTCCGTCAATTCCGTTATTGCCTCCTTGGTCGCTGTCCTCCGATTCCCCCTTCTAGGCATTCCGGCGATGGCGTATGTTAGCACTCACGACTAACTTGCGCATGGAGAAGAGATAGTTTGGATGATTGATCAAGTCCTTCTTAGTGGTTCATGCGATATTTTTAAAACTGTGTTAGTTTTGGGGGTACTGTTTGGTTTCATAAACTTTATCAAAATCAACTTCAATTTATATTATTGGTAAAAATTAATATGCTTATTTCAGTTGCATTATTAATGCCTTAAGTTTCAAACACAAGATTTTTCTTTTTGGGACTAATTTGGTTTTACATGCGTTTATATAGCTACAGGCTTATTTCATGAAAATATTATAAATGATTTCAATGAAGGCAACCTACAGGAAACATTATAGCAAATAAATCTGAAAATAAGCATTGCAGTACTACTTTACTTAACAGAAAAAGATTACCATAGGAGGGGGATATTAACCTTATTGCAGTAACACTAGAATTTCAAGATAAATAAGTAACTTATAATAGAAAAGTTGCTCCTCTAGAGAGTGCTACAAATATTTTATTCTTGAATTAAAAAAACACAATTTCATTTTAGGAATACCCAACTTTCCCCCTTTGCTACTGAAGCAATCTTACTGAAAGATTCCAAAGCCAGCTCTACTTTCATCAAGTAATTTCTCCACAATACTAAACAAATTTGACAGCTTTTCATGCTGCAAAAGAAATAAATAAATAAAATTTATATATATATATATATAATGAGATGAAATTAAAATTGAAAACTGACCTCAGCTACCAATTGGGCAAGCTCCATTGTTTCAAGATGTTTCTGTTGGGATAAAAAATAAATATCCCCGCCAGAAATAATATCCACGATAAAAAATAATAACACAAGAGAGTAACAATGACACCCAATATTTTAACGGGATAAAATACAATACCCAGCGGAGCAATATTACCACTATAATATTACAACTTAGTAGTGTCAAGAGACTACTACAACTTCGAAAGAAATAACACTCTTTATTTTAAATACCTCACTACAATATTACTCCCACTCACTATTTATCTCACAGACTACAATCTGTGGATTACTCTCTCTATGCTCTATTGTGCTCTCTCTGATTTTGGTGTGTTTTAAATGAGGAACGAAGCCTGCTATTTATAGCAAAACTTGCCAAACTTTCAGCCAATCAAAATGCTTGATTCATTGCAAGTTGCCAACGTCCAGGCTTGGTTTTGGTTTTAGCCTTTGTTGCAACTAGATTCTTGTTTCAGCGTTATTGCACAAGTTGCAATTGCAACTTGTTGTTATCATCTTCCCTTTTTAATTGCTTTTGTTTTTTGTTTTTTTTCTTTTGTTTTGATTTGGCCCCACAAATCTCTCCCTTAATTTTGATTTTTCTTCTTCATTCCAAGTCTTGATCTCAATCTCTGAAAATTTTCCAATTTGAGAGGCTTGGTGAAAATATCCGCAACTTGATCATGAGATTTTACATACTTGAGCTCAACTTCCTTCTTGGCAATGCTTTCTCTGATGAAGTGATACCTTGTATCAATATGCTTGCTTCGATCATGATACACTGGATGCTTCGCGAGTGCCTGTGCGGATTTGTTGTCAATACAAATCTCCGTAGCTTCAATTTGTGGTAAATTGAGCTCCTTCAATAATCTTCTCAGCCAAATAGCATGACATGTACATGATGTTGCTGCTATATATTCAGCTTCACAAGTTGAGAGAGTAACAATTGATTGTTTCTTTGAACTCCAAGAAATAACAGAATTACCCAAGAAAAATACAAAGCCAGTTGTACTTTTTCTATCATCAATATCTCCGGCATAATCACTATCACAATACCCCATAAGGTTGAAATCATTAGAAGAAGAATAAAATAACCCAAAGTCAATCGTACCTTTTAGGTAACGAAGAATTCTTCTAGTGACTTTCAAATGAGTGGAGGTAGGAGCTTCCATGAAGCGGCTTACTACTCCAACTGCAAAGTGTATATCTGGCCTGGTACAAGTCAAGTACCTCAAACTTCCCACAAGACTTTTGAAAAATGTGGGATCCACCTTTTCTCCTTCATCAAACTTGGATAATTTTGTCCCACTCTCCATCGGTGTGTTCACGGGATTGCAATCGAGCATGTTGAACTTCTTCAATATCTCTTTTGTATAGCTTTCTTGAGATATAAAAATTTCATTCTCCATCTGCTTCACTTCTAGGCCCAGGTAGTATGACATGAGCCCTACGTCTGTCATCTCAAACTCACGGGACACATCTTTCTTAAAAGCTTCAAACAAACTTGAGTTATTGCCCGTAAAAATAAGATCTTCAACGTAAAGACAAACAAGTAAGATATCTCCATTAGTATGAATTTTAAGGTAAAGAGCATATTCATGGAGACAACGAGTAAACCCATTGTCTTGAAAATATTTGTCGATGCAACTATTCCATGCTCGTGGGGCTTGCTTTAATCCATATAAGACTTTCTTCAACCGCAACACTTTATCTTCATGGTTTTTGACCACGAAGCCCAATGGCTGTTCAACATAGACTTCTTCTTCAAGATAGCCATTCAAGAAGGCTGACTTGACATCTAGTTGATGGATCTTCCACTTCATTTGCGCCGCCAAAGAGATCAACAAACGAATCGTCTCCATGCGGGCAACAGGTGCATAGACTTCTTCATAGTCAATGCCTTGCCTTTGCTTGTATCCTTTAGCCACAAGTCGTGCCTTGTATTTCTCCACATCTCCATCTGCATTCTTTTTTATTTTGTATACCCATTTCACTCCAATTGCTCGATGACCCTTGGGAAGAGTTGTTAACTCCCAAGTGTTGTTCTTCTCTATTGACTCAATCTCCTCCTCCATGGCTTGTCTCCACCTTTTGTTTGTAACAGCTTCATCAAAGTTCATTGGTTCACTGCCAGCAAAGAGACAACATAAAAAATCAAAATTAATAACTTCTTCTGTGTCCTCATAGAGCTCTTGAATGCTCCTTGTCCTTTGCGGCTGTTCATTCGAACTTTCTTGAGAAGAGGGAGATACAACATTGGTTGGAGAAGGAGGTGGAGTTGTATCCTGCACAGGTTCCACGGTCTCTGGTTCTTCTTCATCACCAAAATATAGAAGAAAATCATATGAAGTTTCTTCCTGAGCTTCCCAATCCCATGCCAATTCTTCATCAAATTCAACATCGCGACTTACCACCACCTTACCGCTGCTTGGGTTGTATAACTTGTAGCCTTTTGAACTCGTATCATAGCCAACAAACACATGCTTGACACTTCGATCGTCAAGCTTCGCTCTCCCTTGATGTGGCACATGAGCATAGGCTATGCTCCCAAAGATTCTCAAATGTTTGACACTTGGCTTTCTTCCACTCCATGCTTCTTGAGGGGTTTGATCTCTAACATTTCTTGTTGGAGACCTGTTGTTCAAATAAACTGCACAAGAAACAGCTTCGGCCCAAAATTCCTTGGGCATACTTTTAGCTTTCAACATACATCGAGCCATATTAAGAATCGTTCGATTCTTTCTCTCTGCAACTCCATTTTGTTGGGGTGAATAAGGTACCGTTAGAGGGCGACGAATTCCATGAGACTGACAAAAGTCATTAAATTCGTTTGAAGTGAATTCGCCTCCTCTATCGGACCTTAGAGCTTTAATTTCATAGCCACTTTCTTTCTCCACAAGTACTTTGAAATTTTTAAAAGCAGCAAAAGCTTCAGATTTTTGGTTCAAGAAATAAACCCAAGTCTTTCTACTAAAGTCATCAATGAAAAGCAGAAAGTATCTACTTTTACCAAAAGAAGGTGGATTGATTGGTCCACACACATCAGTGTGAACAAGCTGGAGCGGCTTGGTTGATCTTGACATGGCCTCCTTTGGAAAACTCCTCCTTGCATGTTTTCCAAGAAGACAAGCTTCACACAATTGATTGGGATGGTTGATTGATGGTATCCCATGTACCATGTTCTTTTCTCCCATTGATTTGAGCGCTTCAAAATTCAAGTGCCCAAATCGCATGTGCCAACACCATGATTCATCTTGCACATTAGCCTTCAAACACTTTGCATCAATTGTTTTAAGATTCAGAGAAAACAATCTATTCTTTGCCATATGCACTTTAGCAATTAGAATTCCACTTGAATCTCTAAGCCAAAGATGCATATTTTTCATGTGGATGTCATATTCCTTTTCAAGAAGTTGGCCCAAACTCAAAATATTACTTTTTAATTTTGGCACTTAATAAACATCTTGAATTAGCTTGTGACTACCATCTTTACAGGAGATCAGAATCGTACCTATCCCTTCGATTTGAATCTTTGAGGTATCTCCAAATGACACATTACCTCTAACCATTTTATTGATCTCCACAAACTTTTCTTTGCACCCACACATATTATTGCTTGCTCCATTGTCCAAATACCACGAGCTGCAATCATGCCTGTCTTCTTCTTTGAGTGCCAGCAATAACGTTGACTCATCTTCTTCTTTCTTGTCGTCAACAAGGTTAGCTTTCTCTTCAACAATGCTACGACATTCCCAAGAGTAATGGCCAAATATATGACAATTATAACACTCAATTTTTGATTTGTCATACCTTTGTCCATTATTTTCTTGGTAGTAGCCACGTCCTCTTCCTCCTCTTTGTCCACGACCACGGCCTCTGAATGCTTGGTGGATTTTAACTTCATTGTTGAAGTTGTTACCATTACTTCTTCTTCGTCCATGACCGCCACGGCCTCGTCCTCGTCCATTCCCTTGATAGCTTTTTTCACCTCCATAATCCTTGAAGGATGTCTGAGTTTTAAGAAGTTGCCCCAATGGCACTTCTTGTCTCCTCTTGATCTTTTCTTCATGGGCCTGTAAAGAACCCTCCAATTGCTCCACCATCATTGAGTCTAAATCTTTAGACTCTTCAATAGCACACACCACAAAATCGAATTTAGGTGTTAAAGTGCGAAGGATCTTTTCTACCACACGAACATCTTTTATGTCCTCCCCGTATCTTCTTAATTGATTCACAACAGCCTTCACTTTTGAACAATAATCCGAAATGCATTCGGATTCTTTCATTTTTAAAACTTCAAAATCAGCCCTTGGAGTTTGAAGTTTTACCTTCCTCACCTTGTCAACTCCTTGAAGAGAATTTTGTAAAATCTCCCAAGCTTCCTTTGAGGCGGTAGCATCTGCCACCTTCTCAAACATGGCATCATTCAAACATTGGTGGATGAGCGTGAGGGCTTGTTCATCCTTCTTCCTTGTCTTTGCCAAGACATCTTTTTTATTTTGAGGCAGAGCTTCCTCATTATCGGGTTTTGCGTACCCTCTATCTACGATTTCCCACACATCCCGGGAGCCTAGAATGGCTTTCATACGTAGACACCATTTCTCATAATTATCTTTTGTGAGACGGGGATACTGAAAAGACAGCGGACCATTACTCGCCATGGCTCTGATACCACGTTGTTGGGATAAAAAATAAATATCCCGCCCAGAAATAATATCCACGATAAATAACAATAACACAAGAGACTAACAACGACACCCAATATTTTAACGGGATAAAATACAATACCCCAGCGGAGCAATATTACCACCATAATATTACAACTTAGTAGTGTCAAGAGACTACTACAACTTCAAAAGAAATAACACTCTTTATTTTAAATACCTCACTACAATATTGCTCCCACTCACTATTTATCTCACAGACTACAATCTGTGGATTACTCTCTCTACGCTCTATTGCGCTCTCTCTGATTTTGGTGTGTTTCAAATGAGGAACGAAGCCTGCTATTTATAGCAAAACTTGCCAAACTTTCAGCCAATCAAAATGCTTGTTTCATTGCAAGTTGCCAACGTCCAGGCTTGGTTTTGGTTTTAGCCTTTGTTGCAACTTTATTCTTGTTTCAGCGTTATTGCACAAGTTGCAATTGCAACTTGTTGTTATCATCTTCCCTTTTTAATTGCTTTTATTTTTTGTTTTTTTCTATTGTTTTGATTTGGCCC